GGAGGTACATGTTGCTCCAGGGGGAGGGTGATGTGGGTCTGGTTGCACTGGGTTGTGGGGCAAGGCACCCTGGCAGTGCTCTCCGTGGGCAGGAGGTCTCCCCTGGGGGCAGGAGGTCTCCTCTGGGAGTGGTTTCAGCTCCACAGCACACGGAGGATGCTGGCAGGTAGCAGCTGGTCGTTGCTGGGAGATGATGGTTCCCATGGGGTGGCTGCCAGGCTGCACATGGGGATGCTCTGTGCTGGGCTGGTGGCATTTAAGGGGGACACACCAAGGACCCTCAGGTGGGTGTGGGACCACCGGGGTGACTGCAAGGAAGTAATTTCTTTGCAGACTCCATCTCTGCACCTTTCTGAGCACCAACCTGTGCTTAGCACACGTGCTTGCTGAACTGCCACCCAGCTGGGCATGGTCCCACCTCTGTCATTCCAGGGAGGGGGGACCCACCGTGTCTTCTGTGAGGCAGCACCCTGGGCATGCACACTCCCCTGGGGGTGCCAGGGGTGGGGTGGTCCCACGGGACACCCCTCCTTTCTGTGGTTTGAAGCCACCATCTCAGTGTGAACGGGGTGCTGAGCCACCCCTCGTGGCTTAATCCCACTCCTCCACTGGCCCCACATGACCTTGAGGCACGTCACTTGACCCGCGTGTCGCCCTCCATCCATCTGGAAAATCTGGTTTAAAACTCAGGAATCGTGCAGAAAGCCCAGATGCTGCTTTCCAGCTGGGGGAGGGGGGTGAGGGCTGTCCTTCTGGTCCCCGGGGCTGCCCCCCAACTAGGGGACAGGCGGATGTCCCCCAGTTCCTGGGGGGGCTGTAGGTGCCCCTGGGTGAGTAGGGGGGACTGAGCTGGCAGTTTGGGGGGTGCAGCCCCCCCTGAGTTGTTGTGGGGCTCTTTCCCCATCCCACGTGCTGCCTCACAGCCCCAGTCCCCCTCCTCTGCTCCAAGCTGTGGTTGCTGCTCTCTGTGCTGGCTGCCTGCTCTCCTTCCCTGCTGGCCTCCATATGCCACGCTGGTGGCCTTGTCCTCAGAGATCCCTGCCACATCCCGCCTTCCCCCACGCCAGCGGGATGTGTCAGGGCAGATCTCGTCTCTGCTTGGCAGGGAGGGGAGATCCACAGGCTTGTGGCCTTGTGCCTGCTCCCTTGCTTGTCCCCACAGGGGGGACAGGGATGGGGACAAGCGCCTGGGGTGTTGGGACAGGATGGGATCCCCTCTCTGAGCCAAGGCAGGGCAGCCTTCCCTTCTCTTCACCCTCATCCTTTGGCTGTGGGACTGGTGTTTATCCCCACTGGGAGCTAAGTGCTGTTTCATTTGGAAACCCACTCTGCCATGGCAGTGTCCTTCTCATGAAGCATCTGCAGAAGGGACCAGCTCCAGCCAGGGCTCCTGGGGTGCCGGACACTCCCAACTTCACTGAGTCCCCTATTGCCTTTTGTCTTTTCTCTTGGGATGGGAGGAACTGGATGCCCATACCCAGGTGAGGGTCTTCCCAGCCTTGGCATCACCATCCCGGGGAGCCCCACAGTGGCTGCCTTCCCTCCTCTCCCTTTGGGATGCTGTTCAACTCCACCTCCGCATCTTGTATTCTCTCCTCCTGGCACACGGAGTGCTTTTATTTTTCCTGGATCTGCTTGGATGACGAAGCCTGTTGATTACTTGTTTTTCTTGACAAGGCATCCCTCAGCTTCACGTGAACTCCTGCACCGAGGGGGGATTTGGGGTTCACATCCCTGCTGCAGCTCCCCCAGGTTGACCTTCTTTCCCAACCGCAGATGGTGCCTCGAAACCCCCCCCTCCCTGAACTTGGCTGGGAAAATCAAGTGGGTTTAAAAATACCTCTTCTGTTTGCACTCTGTTTCTTCTGGCGTCTGCGGGTTGTTTTCAAGCATTTCCCCACAAATGTGGAGGTGAGAAACACTCCTTTTAATTGAGAACTGCAATCTCCATCACCCATGTGCCTCCAGCTCCCAGGAAAGCAGCCGGAAATCCTGATGGGGAAGGGGGGGGGAGTGCAGGGTCAGCAGGTTGGGAATTTAGGGAAACCCAAGGAAAGGGGTGTGTAAAGTATCTTCCTGCTGCTTTCCTGAAGGCTCTGGAGGTGGTGGGGTGGGTGGCAGCTGGGCAGAGCCCGGGGCTGGTCAGGCTGCCAGCCGGGTGTGTGTGTGTGGGGAGGGGATGATGCTCAGCCGTGCGTGCCATTCCCCACCGGCCCCGCCGTCAGACACCGGCGCTGCTGGCCCTGACCTATTTTCCCCTGGCCAGGCTTGGGTCCAGCAAGGCAGCTGGCGTGTCCCCAACCCTGGGGACATGACTTTGCTGGGGGTTGGACCGAGCGTGGGACTCCCTGGTGCCCGTTCCTGGGAGCGCCTGGGCGAGCATCCGCATCCCAGGCTGTGCTTGGTGGTCGGGAGGTGGGAACCAAGATCCCGCCTGGGTACCCCAGGAGCTGGAGCAGGTGAGGGGCTGGGGTACCCCTCTGTCCTCTGCTGCTGGTGGAGAGCAGGACCATCCTGTTGAGGTGCTGGGGACCCGTGGCAGGGAGTTGTGCGTCCTTGGATGCTCTTGAGCGGCACGTGGCAACATCTGTCCCTGGCTGGTGCAGGGGGGCTGTGAGTAGGAGAAGGGGGGGGGGGGGGGGTTGGGTGCCCCCCCCGGGC